TTTTACAAACTGTGGCAGTAAAATTACAGTGTTTAAACAGTCGAGTAAGGTTAACTTTCTTACAAAATGTACAGAGTGAAACAGGAATTACAAGCCAATATTACAGTTGAAACCTCATTGTTTTAGAAGTTGGTTATAAATACAACCTTCCTATGTCTATTGAATGCGATCCCTACTACCTTGCTTGTATTATTTTTGAAGGATTGATATTAGCCATCTTTACATTTACTTTCTTTTTTCAAAAGTTTCTTCTTTACTTGTACATACACATCTATATAAGGGTACTTATCATTAAGTCACTGCTTCTCCCAATTTTAACAGAGTAAAATATAACCAAAACATGTTGAGTCTGGTATCTCTTTAATAAATTGTTGTGCACCTTGTAACATTACAGTACTTTCGTAATTTATTTAAGTATAACTTGGGAATACATTCCACAGAATAAGCAAAAGATTGTTATAAAAAAGGCATGTTGTAATCTGAATAGAAGCAATAGATTAGCTGTCTTTAATGTCTTACAAACTTTTGAAAATAATCCATACAGTAAAAAGAAATAGTGATACAACATAAAGTGTAAATTAATACAAAAAAAAATAGAGAGCATTAACTTTAAGCATGGATAGTACACTGGGTGATTAACCCTTTTGAATCAGGTAGATCAAAGTGTGCATGTCACAACCTTTCACAGAGTTAACATTCAAATTTTAATTAAATTACTTTAGTATCAATATATAGGAATAAACTTGGCATCAAAATGTAGTTAATAAATCTAATTTAAGTTGTAAGATCTCAATTTTGTAAGGAAATATTCAAAATGAATCTTTCCCTAGTATAAAAACAGTGCCTTTAACTTATTTACCAGTTAAACAAGTTTGGAATTCAATGTAAATTACTCATTATAATATTGTTATTACTCAGTTAAAGCATATTTTTTATAGCCTATAATTTTTTTTTGGCTTCAGAGCTATAAACTAGAAAATGACTAGTTTCGGAGAATCCCACTCCTCATCAGTGATCCTGGACATTACCACTAATGAAATAACAGACCAAACCAAGCCTTTATAGTAGTGAGAAAATTACTTTACACTCCGAGCAGTCAACCCTTTGACACCATATAATTGAAAGGAAGTTTTATTAAAAATCCTTATTTTTTGTTCACAAGATACTTTTATAGTTTACAGAAAGCTTGTCAAATTTCATGAATATAAAGTAAGTACTTTCAGAGTTATAGTTTATATACCCCCATGGTTACATGGTGATTAAAAGGTTCTGTAAAATACAGGTGCCTATTCTGATAGGGTTATTCCAACTAACCTGTGTTTGAAATTAAGATTAATTCACTTAATGCTACAAAGTAATCAACTAATTAAAATTAGTGTTTACAATAATTACAATTTTTTAATATTCCAACTATCCAGTAACCAAAATATTGGAATTATGATTTTTTTCATTATTACATTTGATTAACTCTCTTAACATGGGCTCAGTCAACTTGACTAACCACATGACCTCTTTGTAGTCGTTCAAAGTCTTTATAGATTTGATACTACTAACTTTTAATATAGTAAGTGTATCTTCACAAAATTCGGCAGTCTTTCAGTAAGCATTACAAGTCTTTCATATACAAAAAATCATATTTCAGTGAAGTATTTTTTAATAAATTAAAAAAAGATTTGTCATTCACTATATCAAATATTTGATTTGAATAGTCCATGTACAAAGTGATTTTCATGTTAAGATTAAAAATACTTTCTTCATCTCAGAAATCTCAAATTTCATTTGTGTAATCTCAAAAACCAACTAAATATATTTCAAATGTTTGTTTTCAGTAAAACTTTATATTTTATCTGTTATTTTCTCTACCCTAACTCTATACATAATTGGTCAATTTGACCAACCTCATTACCACCAAAAAAAAAATCAAATTATCCTCTTTTTCTTTCAAGAATGACTTCAAATGTAACATGTAACAGTATACATATGTTTATATTTAAATTTTATTGTTTTATTGCCCATTGAACCATGTCTAACTACTGTTCACATCATTATATGTTGTAAATCACTTGGGGAATGTGCAGTTCATGTTACACTATTGATATACCCTACCCACAAGATACTCGCATGCATGCCTCGTGAAATATTTTATTATATTATTATTATTCATTTTACCTAATCTGACCTTAATTAACCTAAAGAGATCCTTATTTTAACCTTTGAGTTATTTTTATAATAATAAATAAAGAATAAAGATGAAATAAAGTACTTACCCAAGTATTCTTCTTTTTTTTTGCTGCCAACTATCAATGACACTTACCCTACTTTTTTTTTATACTAATGGTGGTAGTAGTTGTGTATTAAGTAATTTTTATTTAATTAAATAATCCACCAAAGAACATAGAATAATAACATGTAAAAAGCAGACAATTTCCTCTAACAATCAATTTTTCTGGGATTCTAACTATGCGACAAGAAGTGTTACAAATTCATCCAAGCTAGTCATTACCATTCCTGTGGAAACTAAACCTGTAATACAAGTGAAATTGATGATTATCTGTTCAGAACACAACATAATGTATTATTTGATAGATGAAAAGCTTGGCTTTCTATTAGTTATAGGTAATATATATTTACCTGTAAAAGAGAACTATCAACGAATTGTGAAAGAGAGGATGTGACAGGTGGGTGTGACAGGAAGGGTCTGATTTTCTATTTGATAGCTCTTTAACCAAACAAAATTAGAGGCTATAAAAATTATGGTTTGTCTGAGCAGTGATGATTTTATATTGAGTAATTTACGTTTAATTTTGTACTTACTGGAGGGATGGTGGATAAAATAGAGAAGAGAAGATATGTAGAGAAAATGTGTCACGTATGTCACACTAGGGGAAACTCATGATTTGTTAAAATATTGCCTTATAGAATTAAGAGCTTCAAACGTATATACTATTCAAATATGGATTATTAGCTAGATTTTATGCTATACTAATTGGTATAACATAATTAAAAGTTTTTCGGCTTAATCAATTAGGGTCATGACTCATAAATAATCAAAATTATTATTTCTGATTACTCCAACTATCCAAGTAATTGAAATATTGCCATTATGTTTTTTGTTTTTTTTTAAAGGAAAGCTATCTATTTGGAGCTCTGAGAATTAGTTGAATGTAATTGATTATCTCTCTCGCTATGGGCTTGGTTGATTTGACCAAGTTCATAACCCCAAAGTGACAAGCTTTCAGTAAACATTAAAAGTCTTTTGTACATAAAAAACAAGTTTTATTTGATTATTTCTGCTAAAAATTTGTCCGAATGTCAGTGTTGAGTGCTCTGAGTGCAAAAGTGATTTTCACATCAAAATTAAAAATATTTGTTTTCAGCTGAACCTTGTCAAATTTCATTTGTGTAATCTCTAAAGCCTTTAAAATAAATATCAAATTTTTTTTTTCAGTAAAACTTTATACTTTATCTGTTATTTTCTCTAACCTAACTCTATATGCATTTGATTGATTTGACTGACCTTCTAACTACCATAAAGAAAACATTAAATGAATCTAAATTACCCAATTTTCTTTTAAATGACTGCAAGTTGTAACTGGATACTACAATTGTTGATTCTAAAAGTTTAAAGCTCATAATGATGTAAAACTATCACACAAGCTTTAAATCACTTGACAAACATGTCGCTCATGCAACCATATCAAATTATATAATGCATGAGCTGCTCACATGTATAATTTGTGAAAATATTTTATTATTATTTACTATCCTACCTAACCTAACTTTATCTAACCTAATAAGATTCTATCTTTTCAATGTTATCTATTTTTATAATAATAAATAAAGAATATACATGAAAAACAAGAAATATATCAATTACCTATGACCTGTTTTTTATTTACTTACATAATGCACATGAAAACACAGAATAACAACATTCACAAAGAAAACAATGTCCTATAACTATCATAGTTTTCTGGCTTTCTAGTTTCAGAATAAGAGCTTTTAAGTCTTATCTTAAGCTGGTCAATCTGAAGACTACAAGAGACAATGTCAAACTAAAGATGAAATAGACAAAACTCTGTTCTAAAACTAATGTAATATGTCACTTAACAGATTAAACCCTTGGTATTCTATTGTTTATAAATAATATAGAATAAAACATCAGAAAGAACAACTGGGAATTTGTGAAACAGAGGATGTGATAGGAGGGCATGGGAAGTGGGCCTTATTTTCTAGTTTATGGCTCTGTAAACAAATAAGATTGAAGGCTATAAAAGCTATGCTTTGCCTTAATAATATCTATATTAGAGTGAGCAATTTACATTAAATTTCCTACTTTGCAGGGGGTTGGTAAATAAATTAGAGAATAGGGAAGACCTAGGAAACAAATGTCACATTTCTCATACTAGAAAAGATTGAAGATAGTTTTAAATATTTCCTTATAAAATTATGAAGCTAAAATTTGATTCATTATCTATATTTTGATGCCATGTTTAGTCATATACTGTAATAATAAAGTAGGTTACTTAAATTCTTAATGTAACTGTCTGAAAGGTTGTGCCATGCACTCTTTGAACTACCCATAGTGAAAAGGTTAAAGAATTTGAACATCAATCGGCAAATTCCATTAATCAACCAGTTCTCATGAAAATTTAGTTTAATTGAATAAATGCTCTAGAAATATCTGTTTTACAATTACCTGTATGAAAACTACTGAAATAAAAAATTATCTGTACGTGTAGTTGATTTTACTGTGATTCTTGCAAAGAAAGAAATAAAAGCTCAGTCCAATCAACCATAATAGAATGTAAAGGTGCATACACATATGAATCCTCAATAGAAGTAAAATGACATTTAAATGAATCTTCCTACAAAAAACTGTTATTAATAGGTGTGTTAAAAAAAGTATGTATATACAAATTTAAGGTGGTATATGTACCAATTATTCAGTCATTACTATTCATTGTAAAGCTTCTGATAATACAAATTATAAAATATACCTTAATTTCCTCCATTGTTGTTCCCTCTTCTTCAATTTTTACATCATTGATTGACTTTCCATCATCAGTTGTTCCTTGAGATTTCAAAATTTCATCAAGATATGCTTGGTCAACTTTTTCCATGGCTTCTTGAAAGTCATTACGAAATCCTCGATCAACTTCTGGTTCTAGAATTTCAAGGCGACGCAGTCGTTTGAAAGCTTCTATTTCAGTTTCTCCAAATAAAAGGATAGGCTCACTTCTATCTCTCAATCTTCGTATCACCTGAAAGAAAGAAAAAAAGATTACACAGAGTCCCAAACTAACCAATTTCAAAAGAAAGGTTATACATTTACAACATGTATTAAAAAATTGATACTATGCACTACATAGTCAGGGCCAAGGAGAGAAATCCTGAGCCCTTGGTGCTTCCCTGATTCTGGGACCCTAATACCCCCCCCCCCCCAAATCGTGTATATAATTTTTTCCCTTTGCAAGCCTGAATAGATTAAATCTCATAACATTATACATTATTTTACTGACCTTTCAGCAATGCCTGCCTAATGTTACAGAAGTTACACACATGCAGCATTATGTTACCATGTCCAATAGAATAAAACTGATCTTAACAAAGTGTAATTGTCTTAGCTTTGTTCTAGTGGACCACTATTTTGTATAATACAGTCACATTTTGGTTATAATGCATTATATATGTTATTAATATTTACAAATAAATTCTCAAATTTCAGTTATTTTTCTTAAAACATATAACACAAAATAAAGAAGTATAGAAAACAATGGTTTCTTCTACTTATGAACCTTGTACTCAGTTGCTGCGTTGCTGTAAGTTGCTAAGCCTTGTCAAATTTAACATGTGGAAGATGTAAAACAAAATAACTTTTTAACATTTTATATATGTATTTTGAAATACCAAAAAATCACAAGTTACTATATCAATACCATAGAATTCCACTATAATTTTTTAGTCTTGGTAAATAAGCTGTATTTGGGTCTAAAAAATATGATTTTTCAATCTCCATAATGTCTTATATTACAGCTTCAATGTTTTTCTCTTTTTTTTTTGGCATGTTGTCTATCTATCATGCAAAGTAATATTCATTTTAAGATTAAAAATACTTTTATTCATCAGAAAATTTTCAAATTTCACATGCAAAATCTTTATAATGTCCAAATAGTTATCAAACATTTCTTAAAAAAACTTTATATCTTATCTGTTATTTTCAGTAATTAATCTCAGTACGGGTTCGGTAGATTTGATCGATCTCACAACCACCATAAAAAATTAGGAAATAAATATAAATTATGCCTCTTTCATTCCAGAATGAACACAAATTATAACATGAAAACATAAACTAAATAGCTTAAATCTCATATCATTATACATTTATATATATATTTATTATTTTTAATATATTGACCTTTCAGCCGTGCCTGGCTAACAATACAGAAGTTGCTCATGTGCACTCATGTTACCGTATCAAATAACATAAAACCAACCTTTGGTCTGTACAAAGTAACTTGTCTTGGCTGTATTTAGCAGACTAGTATTTTATAAAATACAGTCACATTTCAATTATTATACAGTATACATGTATATAAATTATTTCTATTTTGAAATATGTTCTTAAACTTATTTTTCTTAAAACACAGAACAGTAACTAAAGAATTAAAGCAAACAAATATCTCTTCTAGTTTTGACCTTTGTACTCGGTTGCTATTTGACGTAGGTTGAAAGCAAACAATTATCTCTTCTAGTTACAACCTTTGTACTCGGTTGCTGCTTGCCGTAGGTTGGTAAGCCTTTAAAAATTTTGCACATGGAGGATATGAAACAAAATATCTTTTTTAGGTTTTATATATACATTTGAATAACTAAAAAATAATAAATCACTACATTAATACCATAGAATTCAACTATGATTCACCAAGCTTAGTAACTAAGATGTATTTTAGTCTAAGTAAATAAGAAATTTCAAGGAGATTAAAGACACACCCTACTTCATTGAAATATTGGTTCAAAACAAAGAAATGGTGCCAAGACCATTAAAATGACTGAGAGAGCAACTAGGGGGACATTCTGAGCTTCTGATTGGTTATTCGTTTCATATATAGAAGTAAGTGTATATAAAAGAGCTTTTCCATAAATAGAAAGAGGTGGGTGGGGTGCCACTATGTTTAATTTATTACATGGGCAATATCTTAGCAAAGTGAAAAGATAAGAGGCTTTTATTTTATATTCTAGCTTATTGATATTGGTAATTTAAGTTTATAACTCATATGAAACTACAGACTCAGTATTTTGACTTCACAAACATCTAAATTGAACCAGTGCTGCATTCAACATACCATGTGTCACAGAAAAATCTATGTTTATCCGTGTTTTTTTAATATTTGCTTTTGAATTAAGAAATTGAGTAATAAATAGTACTAAAATTTGAATTATAATCTACAGTTTGATACCAAAGTTATTGATATAAATTCATGAAATAGTAGTTCAATAAAATTTTGAATGCGAGTCAACAAACGAAATACCATGGCCTTTCACCCGTGACCTGTCTCAAAAGGGTTAAAAAAGTGTTGAAGTTATAAGATATGTCTATTTACAATGTAGGACCAAGTTGCTCAAAAAATATATACGTCTGTATGTACTTGTCTCTATCAGTGGTAGTGTTCTTAATTAAGTGAAATTTATGAATATCTTAAGCTCCTGAATGAAAAAAGTACTACAATCTCTAATTAACATGATTTTAATCATTCAAGGATGAAAAATATATTACTTCATTTATAATCAAGTTAACTAAAATGTTGAAGTATGTTTTAGACATACTTATCAACTTATTTAATGAACAAATCTTAATAAATGCCAATGGCATGGATCCAGAACAGTTGGCAGGTAAGCTTGTAATGCAAAGTTCATAAAATTAATCCAAAATATGTCACACTAGTAGTGAGCATAAAAATATGAAAACAAAACAAAATTAAATAGTTCAAGAAAACATATTTTTTGGTTTTTCTTACAAAATTGAATGTTAATGCACAATGGCTCCTAATACACTAGCACCTGGTTCAAACTGCTTGTCTGTAAATATTTGTAAAAGAAAATATGTATATACATATTGTTCAAGTTAAAAACATGTCAGTATCACAAATTACTCCAAAACCTTTTTCATAAATAAATGTACAGAAACAGGATAAGTGTGGTTATACAGTTTTTTTTTGGTATATATCAATCATTTTTACATGTAATAAATGTAACAAAACTTAATATTCAATACAAATATTAAGAACTTGCTAATACCTTGTATTACTAAAGTTAGCAATTTGATTATTCTCATTGACCCTTGGTTTTAAATAAGAGGATTTTCATGATTATTCTAAACTCTTCAAAACACAAATCTATACTTAACGGATTTAAAAAAATGCATTAAATTATAACAGACTTTAACAAAATTATGCAATAGTAAAAACAGTGATGTAAGAAACTTGATAAAACTTGATGAAAATTAAAGGCTGAAGATACTTGCAAAAATCTACATGACAGTAATGTAATTTATCTTAAACCAACAAAATCAACTTAAATGTCTCAGCATTAATTGAATGGTCATGCAAAACACATGGAAGTGTTTGGTATAACATAAAAACTGAGATGATTTAAAAAACAGCAAACTTAGTAAAAACCAACAACTTGGCAAACTACATGAGTAAATCACACCAGTAGTAAGGGTTAAATAGTTTTCACAGATCAAATCTAAGGCATTTGAGAAAGCACATGTGGCTTGAATAGCATATTATCTTAAAAAATATAGCTCAAAACACTTGTACTTAAATACCACACTGACTAGTAATGGAAGTTTGGAGACAATAATATTTAACATTCAATGAACAGAAAAAAAGAAAAGGTACACAAAAGTAGGTAGAAAGAAAAACATAAGATCAATGTGAATCCTTGAAAAAATCTGCTACACAGTTTTGAAACAATTTGAAGAAGTTCTACAGCAACAGTTAGATCCTTAGCTCAAAGATATATTTAAAAGTTAAAATTATCAACTGTAATAATAAAGCTTCAACTGAGATTAGAATTAAACAGTTACCTTAAAGATTCTTAACACACACATATGATTTTATTTACTATTCTTCAAACTAACATTTGTCTGATGATGAGAAAAGGGTCTTAGCCAAAGGATTACAATTTTCTATTCTCCCCTTAGAAAGTTGTTATAGAGATAGAGTTGTTTTTTAGGTTCTGAAACTTTCTTACAACAATTCTCCAAGTGACAAATTTAGAAAAAATGTGTATACAATTTTTGAACAAGCTAAAACTCAAATCACTGGTTGTGTCTTCAGGATGTAACAAAACTTACGACTTAAAAACAATAACAGCAGTTTAACCCTACTGAGATGGGTCTCATGGGTCTTCCTATGGTCAGGGGTCAAAGGGCGTGTTATCATGTTTGTAGACTGGCATTCAAAATTTTATTGAACTACTATTTTATGAATGTATATCAATAAGTTTGGTAACCAATTGTAGATTATAATTTAAATTTTAGTATAATCCATTAGTTAATTTCTTAATTTAAATGTAAATATTAAAAATGAAATCCTAAATACTGATTTTTTTGTATGTCACGTGGTATGTTGAATGCAGCATTGGTTCAAATTAGATGTTGGTGATGTCCAAATGTAAAGTTTATAGTTTCTTAATAATTTGGAACTCAGATTACTGATATTGACAAACTAGAATATCAAATAAGAACCTCCTGTATTTTCTATTTGCTGAGATATTGCTACATGTACTGAACAAACACAGTTGCCCCAACCACCATTTTCCATTTTTGAAAATACTTGCTTACATACACCTTCTTCTGTCTATGATGTGTAAATAACCAATGGAAAGCTAAGAATGTCCCCCACATGGTTCTCATGGCTCTGCAAGATATCCACACGAGAAATCCTTTTTTCATGTTAGATTCCAATTGGTAAGGTAAGACATTACTGAACTCAAAAAATCATATTTTTTCTATACCCAAATAAAGCTTAGTTAGTAAACCTGGTAAATTATAGTGGAGTTCTCTGGTATTTATACAGTAATTTATGATTTTTTACTATTTCAAAATGCATATATAAAACCTGAAAAAATGATTTTGTTTTACATTCTTCATATGAAAACGTTTATAAGGTTTAGCACATAGCAAGCAGCAAATGAGTACAAAGTTCATAACTAAAAGAGATAATTGTTTTCTATACTTGATTTACTGTTCTATGTTTTATGAAAAATAACTGAAATTTAAAAACTTATTTGTAAATATATTATAACCAAAAGGTGACTGTATTTTACAAAATACTAGTCCACTAGAACACAGTCAAGACAGATCACTTTGTACAGGCCAGTTTTATATCATTGAATGTGATAACATGAGTGCATGTGTGCCATGTCATTCAACTTCTGTAATGTTAATCAGACACTACTGAAAGGTCAGTAAGATAAAAAATAATATATTTTTATATATGTACAATTTTATGAAATTTAAGGTATTTAGACTAAGCATTTGTGGTTTTGCATTATAATCTGTAGTAATTCTAGAACAAAAAACCGTAATTTGCATCGATTTCCCTTTTTTTATGGTGGTTACAAGATAGATCAAACCAATCAAACCCATACAGAGATACAAAAGTGAAAATAACAGATAAAATATAGTTTTTTTAATAAAAAACATTTGATAATTATCTGGAGGATATTAGGAGGTTATACAGATTTTGCATATGAAATTTGACAGTTTTCTTATGCATAAAAGTATTTTTTATCTTAAACTCAAAATTACTTCATATGTTGGATAGTCAACATTCAAAAATAAAAAATGCATGAGCAAATAATTAATTAAAAAATTTTAAAACTTAATTTAAAAATCTGACACTTTGCATTCAAATGCTTTGTAACATTTACTGATAAACTGCAAAACTTGCGAGGATACATGTACATTTTAAAAAGTTACTTTTGAGAACACGGGCTGGGTATAATCCACCCACCAATATTAGAAAGGTTAAGCAAGGCTTTAAAATTTTTTTTAAGTTGTAAGAACACTGAATTCACTAAACTGAATAAAGGTGGTAGGGATGTGATTTTAATGAAAGTGGATTACATCAACAAAGTGGAAGCTATTTAGTAATACAGATAAGTTTAAAGAAATTAAGAGGTCTCAAAAAGCAGCCAGGTAAGCCAAATTTATAAGATACCATACAAATTTAAAAAGATGAGAGCTTCATAACAGAAGAAATGTACCAAAAATCAGACAAACAGGCTCACAGTGTTGGGTTTTATTTGGACTATGTAAGGTTCATAATCATAAATTAGACCAACTGTATCTAGTGCAGGCCTGTGTAATTAACCATTAGCCAGATTTTTTACCCTGTTTTTGAAAGATTTTATACAGAATGAATATTCTGTTAAGGTTACTCTACAATTTGTGAATAGCTTAAAACAGACAATTTATTGATAATGTTCATTGTGCTGGTTATGACTAAAATCTACAATACCGGTAGTATTACCAACTACAGTCTAAATGAATGCGAGTTGTCTACCTTACGTTATAAAAATCCTATTTATAAAGTGGTTTGTTATAAATTCCTTTTTTATAGTACAAGTTGCTTTAAAACAAGTTACGTGTATAGGAGGATTGTGTTGTATTTATTTGTTTTAATCTTATTCTCAAATGTGTCAAATTATTATTATTATATTTTGCCTGATGATGACCTAAGCTGAAGGTCGAGACATTGCATGGCCATTTTTATATACGTGTGTGTGTGTATTTCTCCGTAATAAACATTTTACATGTATTAATGTTTTTTAACATTTAACTACTTTAAAATAATTACATAAAACTATGATTTCATAGGTTGTTGAAGCATCCAATCAATAAAACTTCTCATGATTTCATTAAAACATCTAATAATAAACATTTGAATATGGAAAGTTATATTTTGCATTAAGTTTCCTGTCGTGTCATTTGTACAGTGCACTTCAACACTTATCAAATGATTGTCTATAAACTTTAAATTTGAAGCATAAATACTATCCAGCCTTGTTCTCTTCATACTTCAGTTAATTTATAGATAAACTGTTCCAATTCTATTTCACTTATGCAAGACACACCAAACTTACTCACATGAATTTTGTCACTACATATGTACCTCTGAAAAACTTTTCATTCTTAATTAATATTATCTTCCCATCAGAGCAAGCTCCCTAATTAGATCAAACTAAAATCCAATCCAGTAATGAGAATAGCTAAATATGATGTTCTTAATTTCTAGTTTAGAATTTATTGTTTCATTAGCTGTGGAACCTTGCTTTTAATGATATTTTGGCCATAAACCCGTAAGTTATGCTGATTGTTATTTCACACACAAGTTATTAAGCTCCATATATCTATAAAAAAAATTATGCTAACTAGGAGTAAGAATATCAACTTTGCAAAAAAACAATTAAAATAAACACTGTGTTTTCCACACAGATTTTCCTTACATGAGGTAAAATAAGTATACAATACTATTTTATTTCATGTCAAAGGGTAGCATCTGACTGGATATCAACTCTCCTAACTTTAAAAAGTGATGCTTTTTTTACAGCATTTTATTCATTTAGAAATACAAACATAAAACATTAGGAATTAGAGCACAGTCTTCAGTCTGTCTGAATATGCTTTAGTCTTATTCTCACTAGACTGAATAACACCAAAATATTAGCTTACACCACACACTTTGTCACAAGTTTTTCTTCTAATTCAAAGAGACAGATAAGCTCTAACATTAATTCTGAAGACTCTTGATCTCTACAAAAATATGCATTATTCCTTCCAAGTTGTTCAATGCACCATTAAAATTACACTAACACCATAAAATATAAGTGTACTGGATTATACTAGTAATGAAACATTAAATAAACTATACTTTTTATAGAACCACTTCACTAAGTACAACATCATATAAAGACAGTATTCTTCTGCACTATGTATTTATAAAAATAGCTAAAAAAAATTTTAATCATTAACTCTAAAATGCATATATTTGATCTTTCTCTTACTCTAGGCCATTTTTATGATAACTAATGACTAATACTGATTGATGATTCTACCTTTACTCCATCAGGAGTAAGCTAGGTATAAATTTCTCTTTCAGGGTAGGTTATCAATCTGTGCTCTTGCTTCAGTGGTATCAAGACCTGTGCTTATGTTAAAATCCCAGTTAGTCATCTAATCATAAATAAAACTCACAAAGTTACCACAAACTCCTAAATGACCTGATGATTTTTTATTATTTTAAATCTAAAAAAAAGAAGTATATCCATTCTGTATAAGCAACAACATTCATACTTCATGTTTCAATTACTCTTCATAACATTCCTAATTTTAGCCTCAGTAAGATTTATATGTTATCCCAGACAGTTGTCTTAAAGGTCTATTTGAATGTACGTACATCAGTATTTATTTTATTCTGCTTTGAAGATGTGTCTACTGTACCTGTAAGCTATTTGGTCCCAAAAAAGTGTTGGTATACTTAAACAGCAGCATAACTAGTGTGTGTGTTACTGTTTTGTGTCCTTGATTACCACTACATCCTTTACATGTTTTATTTGGCCTTGTATAGTGAATGTATTGCATAAACAAATACAAGTATAATTTCATCGTATTTTAGGCACTGTATTTTCACTGACACTAATATCACAGCTGTTGGGTATCTGTTATCTCACTGTTTGTCCTTTGAAGATGTCAACCTATTTTTTCACAATATTATGGAATCAAAAAGCCATTTACAAAGTATAATCAACCTTCTCAGTAACATTTTTTACATTTTCAAATGTCTTCATCTTCATTATTAAACTTTGGTTTCTCCATCACAAATCCATTGCTAATGTGGGCATTAACCAATCTTCAATTATTTCAGGGAATTTTCAAAATTTGTGACCAAATGATTCTTCCTAGTTTCTATCAAGTGTATAATTTATACAATTTTCATCAATTTATTTCATAATAGTTTGTTCAAAAATTTAATGAATAAAAGTCTAATTGTATATTTTATTGCAAATAACTTAATACATCTGATGTTTAGAAGAAAATACATAATATAAAACTGTTTGACATGACACAAGATAATTAGAGCCTACCTCTTTTCTTGGTAGAAATCTTTCCTCACCATCTTCAACTCTATTCAATGCTGATTTTATACTTGATGAAGTACACTTCAGCAATGAAAAATAAATAAACAATGTTACTGTTCGTAAAAGGAAACATTTTATTTCTAAAGCATTGAAACATAAGTAGATAATTAAACACTTATTACAGGCTAGAAACAAGATTGTAAGGCATTCTTGAGAAGACTATGAGTTAACTAAAATCTATTTAACTTTTTACCTTACAAAGTTTTCATGAAATCTCTCACCTAATCTATTACCTTGACAAAATATTTATTATTGATTATGATTTTAAACTGCTTAACTACCATTACTATAATTTTTCTACAGCTTGGTGTTGCTAAATAAATATTTATGACTTTCAACTTTTATATTATTTGTTAGTTGTAAAAATGGCTTTAATTTCAAATAAAAAAGTAAAGAAAAACTTTTGAAAAAAGGAAGTAAATGTAGGGATGGGCTAATATCAATCCTTTAAAAATAAGATAATAGATAGTAAACAAGATAGTAGGGATGGCATTTGCATCATCCCTACATAATAGCATAGTGTAGTAGAATATATATATATATATCTGTTAATTCTTGCCCACATTGTTTGTTTTGTTTTGAAAGATTGATATTAGCCATCCCTACATTTACTTCCTTTTTTGAAAAGTTGTATCTTTACGTGTTTTTTCCTATTTACTACTAGTTAATAATACTTATAAAGGTGGATATTCTGTTTGAAACTATGTCACATCAGGGAGGTTGGTTGACGCCATTGTTTTGGTTTTTGAGTTATTGTGTAATAAAAAAGAAGCAGAAGAAAGAATAACAAGAAAATTAAACTCTTTGCTATGATATCTACAGGCATTCCCAGAACATGTGACTCAGTCATTACATAAACATTGTTAGAAGTGGAAAGACTACATAGTATTGTAAAGATCTGATGACCTATTAAAGAAATATTTAAAATATCATTTCAATGAACAATTCAAGCTGTCCTACATAGCAGTGCTACCACTACCTGCCTGATTATACATACATTTATTTTTTCATTTATTAATAGTTGTATCTTAGCTCTCTATGGCATACTTTAAGATTTTTGCATAGAGCTCATAAAATTCATACAACATAAAAATGTAAATTGTTTGCATGCCAAACTAATGGAAAAAGATGACTATTGAATGAAAATGTTACAATTTACCCTTACAGGCTTAATGATGAAGGCTGTTAATTTATAAATAATGCATACACTCCTCAAATGCTTGCATGTTGACCACATAGTGATGGACACAAACACAGTTATAGCACAAAATATTTATTGCAAATCCTCCTAACAATTTATAAATTAAATAGTCTTGGTTTATACATTACCTTATAAGGGCTATATATTAATAAACTTACGTTTCTTCAAATAAACATAAATGCAGGTGTCATTAAGTTTGAAGAGCAATGTAAGTTAGCTATTATTTGCTATTTGTCATCATTTAAAACTGAAAAGGTAAATAAAACAAAAATAAGGTTTACCTTATAGTTCCATTTACTGACAAAAGAACAGAACAAATTATATTAGAATATGTAGTCATAGAAACTTCTACTCTACAGTTATTACCCAACACTTGCAAAAATAAATACCCAACTATTAGCAAATCTTACAAGGATATACGCAGCAGAATTTTAATTATAAGAAATTGCTCAATAACA